CCATATGGGATGCTGGCATTGCAGGCAATGACTTCACCTGCCACACCACACAATCCCATTTCTGAAAGAGGGTATTTAGCAGAGATTTCTAAGCAAAGTATTGAAGATGCAGCTTGGCCCTTTTGCTTATAGTAAAGTGCAAAAGGAAAGAGAAAAAACTTAAGAAGTAATTATTACATAAAAGGGTATCAGAACTTGGAGATTTGTAAAATTTTTACTCCATCTATATTGCAAAAAACAAGAAAGCTTTTTGAAGAGAACACTTAGGGTGTGGCTGAACAACAATTTAATAAAGAGAGATCATGGGTGAGACCCAAAGATTTATTTGTCTTAGCAGAAGCCAGGAATTGATATGGGAATATAGCAGCAAAAAAACTGCCAGAAGGGACTAAAGAGGACTGAAAACAAACAAACAAACAAACAAAAAACAAAAAACCCAAATAGAAGAAAAGCCTGTTACATTTCTTATATCTAAAGTATTGAACCATGGAGCTATTTAGCAGCAAGTGTATACTTATTCTTTAAGAAAAAGGAAGAATGACTCCAAACACAATGTAATATCATCAGGGCTACCTCTATGGTTTCAACCTAGGATCATCTCTATTTCAACAGGCTAGAATTCCTCTAACCATAGCTACAAGGGCAGGGCCCTCTGCCTGCAGACTTAGGGCTGATCTGTAAGGTGGAACTATCACCCCAATGATTCCAGAAAGCAGAACACTGACTCAAAGTAAAATATTTTCAAAACTTAAACTCTAATGAAATTTGCCTTGCGAGGTTTTGAATTTGCTTAGAACCTGTTTTTATTTTCTTCTTTTTGATTTCTCCATTTTTAGGTTGGGAATGTCTATACTACCTATGCCTATTTCACGAGTGTATTTCTGTATTTTGGAAACACATAATCTGTTTGGATTCACAGATTCACAGGTGGAGGGCAATTTTACCTCAGGATGAATTGTACCCTCAATCCTTACCACTTAACCTAATTTAGAGGCTATTTAGAGGAGACTGGTCTTTAGACTTTAGAACTGATGTGGGAATTTATTACCATTTTTCAGATGGAAAGAATGTATTTTGTAGGTAATAAGGTCATGAATTTTGGAGGGCCAGGTATAAAATACTATGGGCTGAAATATGTCCCTCCAAAAATTCACATGTTACCTGGATATGACTTTATCAGGAAATAGGTGCTTAGAAAGTAATTATTTAAGTGTGTCATAAGGATAGGGTTCTAATCTAGTAAGACTATGGCCTTCTAGAAAGAGGAAGGCAGAATGCTCTCATTTCACCATGTGGGTTCAGAGAGAGAAAGTGGCTGTCTTAAAGCTGGGAAGAGGGTTTTACTAGAAACCAAACCTTGTCAGATCTTGATATTGACTCTTCTAGCCTCCAGACTGTGAGAAACTAAATTTCTGTTAATTCACTATGCTATTTTGTTATGGAAGCCTGACAACATTAAAGTGAGTATGAAATAAAACTGAAAAAATACTGGTGGTGTCAGATAGTGGTGATTCTTGTTGGTAAAGATCTTGAATATTTTTTTGTGGAAAACTGGAAACAGTAAGCAGTAGAACTGACGTAAAAACATCCCATATTATAGACAGTTACTAAATTAGTAAATACATGATTATACAACACCTTCCAGGATATTAAGTGAAAAATAAACGTTGCAGCAAAAACATTTCACTTCAAATTTCATAAGGAATAATGCAAAAACTTAATGTTTTAGAATACTCAATTTTAAACACTACACAACCTTAGTATTATATTATTTCTGCTACATTGTTAATGAAAAGAATACAGAAATTAGAGAAGCATTTTATATGAAGAAAACTTCAAAAATTAGATCACGAAGTGTGCTTTAGGAATAAACAAGAGTAAATTAACCTTAAAATGTTGTATGGAAGTGTATATTTCTAAGAGATGAACTGCAAAATAAATTATACCAAGTATTCAGATGTAAAAGTGCAGTGTTTCTTTTTTACTGAGTGTCACTATAAAGTTCTTAAAGTCTTCTGAATAGATAAACAGAAGAGTTTTCCTTTCTTCCTCACTCAAGTTTTTAAACTTTCAGTGAAGTGTAGTTTACATATAGTAAAATTCATGCTTTTTAGGTAGATAGCATTGAAGAACTAAAATATAGTGTGCAACTAGCACCATAGCCATAATATGGAATATTTACATTATTCTCCAAATTTCCTCATTCATCTTTGTAGTAAATCCCCTCCCCTCACCTCCAAGTGCTCACTGACTTGATTCTTGTTTATACAGCACTATAGTTTCCAAAGTGTCCAGAATCTCATAACGTATAGCTATTTGTTTTAGGCCTTTTAGGACTTTGAGGCTTAGTGTATATTAAAGTGTATAACAGCAGCTCCTGGCTTTTAACTGCTGACTAGTATTTCACTGCAAGGATGCTTCACAACTTATTGATCCATTCATAAACTGGGAGCATTTAGAGTATTTCTGGTTTTAGGCACCTACATATAAAGCTGCTATTAACATTCATGTACAAGTGTTTGGGTAAACACACATTTTTATTTCTCTTGGATACACACCTAGGAGGAGGACTGCTAGATCTTGTTTTAAGACTATGATTAATTTTAAATACAACTTTTTCTCATAAGCAATATTACAGAGTTCTAGCTGCTTAATGTCCTTGCTAGCACTTGGTACTATGAGTTTGTTAAATTTTAGCCCTAAGTGTATAGAGTAACTTATGGTGATTTTGTTTATCACTAAGGATGAAAAATTTCAATATTTTCCTCTGTGTTTATTTGTCACCTACTTATTTTTTGTTTTAAATTTTAATTATTTTATTTATTTGAAAAGGTGAGAGAGACAAAGATAAATACACACACACACACAGTGTTAGGGAGGGAGGGAGGGAGAGAGGGAAAGAGAGAATCTTCTATCTGCTCGTTTATTCCAGAAACGCCTGTAACAGCTGGGGCTGGACCAGGCCAAAGGTCAGGAACCTAGAATTCAATCTGGGTCTTTTATGTGCATGACAGAACCCAACTACTTGAACCAACGTCTGCTGCCTCCCAAGATGCACATTAGCAGGAAGCTGGAATCAGAAGTGGAGTTGGCACTAACTCAGGCACTTCAATATGGGATGCAGGCATCCCAAGCTGTATCTTGACCACTGTGCAAAGAACTTTCCCAGCTATCTACTCATTCCTAAATGATATATGGAAATATTAAACACAGCTGTCATCTTTTGTAAGTGGATACTGCCTTTTACAGATATGTTTCTCACTTATGTAAAACTGCAACCCAGAACTGGAAAACTGTGAGAAAAACACATATGCAGAGAACACTAAAGGCTAAAAGAACTAAAATATTGTTTATTTCATCAGTGCATATTCACTTATGTGGTACTGACTGAGAAAGCACACACTCATAAAACCCGAGGCAATAGACTTGCATAGAATAATGTCAAAAAGCAACTCTACTACCAGGGCCAGTTGGTTTCACAAAAGTTTTCTATCCCTAGAGACTTAAAGAGGAGACAATTCCAAGGCTGTTGAAAATGTTTCAAAGTATAGCAAGAGACCAAAAAACATTTTATATTTATGAAGTAAGCATATCATTGGATATGACAGTACTTCAAAAAGTTTGAGGGAAATAGAATTAAAATAAATATTTATTTGGTAGAAAATAATTTTGAACTCCATGTGAATGAATCCAGAAAATTCATGGAAAATGCCTATTATGAAGAAATGAGGCATGGATCTCAAAATTTTTTTTACAGCAAAATTAATTTACCCTTTAATTGTTTTTTTCCATGAAATTTTGCACTTTTGTCCTTAAAATTTTTTTTTCATTAAGATGTCAATATAAAAATCACAAATGATACTATAAGAGTGAACTGAATCCATTAGCATAATAAGAAATACTATATTATGACCAAGTGGGATTTACTACACAATGCCAATTTAGTTCAATACTGGACAATCTTTTAACACAATCCACTAAAATAAGATATCTAAGGAGACAGAGTAATGTTAACCAATTATGGCTAGTGGGCTAGTTGCCTGTTTTATAGTTTTATCCTTGATATTTTCTATAGCTACTTTTGTACTACAATAGCAGAGATGAACAGCTGTAAGGAGCCTAAAATATTTACTATTGATCCTTTAAGAAAAAGTTTATCAATATTAGATGATCATCTCAAAGATGTCTGAAAGTTTATAATGAAATGGCAAGGATCATTTGGAATTTCCGCAGCTTAGAGAACAAAGCTTGTTAGCTTTTAATCATCTATTCCTGTTTGTCTAATCAAGTAAAACAAGTGAAAACATTTTTCCTTTTCCATCAAAAATGAACTAAAAGCCAAATGAAATAACAAGATCTTCATTTATTCATGACTAAATTTTGTAAAGTTAGTATTTGATGGAAATTTCCCTGTATATATTGTTAAAAACAAAAACCTAGATGCAGAACAGTATGAATTATCAATTGTGTGAAAAAAGGGAGGACCCCTACTTGCTTGTAAATTCATTAAAAAATGATGTAAAACAGTATTTACTTATTTGAATTTTGGTAGAATCTAGAAGATGGGAGATGAAGTGGAATGAGAAATATATTTTCCGTTTTTAACCTGTACTCTAATTTTTGAACCATATGAATGTATTATTTATCTTCCTTGCTCAAACAACAAAAAACACCTCATATGTTTCAAACAGATTTATTAAAAAAAATGAGCTATTTCTGCCAAACAAACATTACATAAATTACAAATGGATTACATTTCCTATGTAGGAATGAAAAATTACTCTGACAAGGAGAAGGCAAGTCTCTGTTTTGAGAGACAGATCTGACAGCAGTCTGGGTTTGATTTCTCATTGTCTTACATTTATAAATTTATTCCTAATTTTCAAAGATTTTAGACCCGATAGAAACAAAATTATACTGTTCCTTCAAAAATTTTTGAATGATCTATGAAAAATTATGATACTACTAAATCATTTCACTTAGAATAAATAAATACATACCATTATCTTCTTCAATTCCAACAGGGCCTGCTTGAGGAGTCTCCCCATTCTTTAAGCAATTATGGATATATGTTGCCTTCCACCTTGCATACTTTCTGTGTTTCACATTCTAAAAAAGAATAAATTTGTATCAATATTAGACGATGGGAAAGAGAAAAGCATTTTCAATGACCTATTTCATATTTTTGAAATAAAATCTATTTTTAGAATCTCCTAACTATATTACTAGATTCTACAAACTTTCTAGGGCTTGAGAGATTTCATGAAAATTTATCTTTCTCAAGACACAATTATAGTTCTCTTTTATGGTTTCACATGAAAGGTCGGCAGTAGAAATAGGAATATATCCATCCAGTCACTACCTGATCAGGTCTTCTTTCACTATACCATCTACCAGATTTCCTAGAAGACAATGATAGCCAATATTGTTATCTACCTATACACATTTCCATTGCTCTAAAAACCTTGGTCATTCTTAATCAAGCTAGTATTTTGTTTCTGACAAATATCCAACTGACTGTGACATCTCCACTTGGATGTCTCACAAACAATTGAAATTAACTTGACCCAAACCAATTGCCATACCTACCCTACTGGCTAACAAACACTTCATACTCTCATATCTGATTATGTGGGAGTAATTTTTTGGCATTTCTTTCATTCTTTGTCCTTCTTTGTACTCCTTCATGTATTTCTCCAGTTGATCTACTTCTCAAACATACTCTGAATTGGTCTTCATCACCCGATCTGATCTGCAATATACTTTCTCTGTTCTAGCCCTACCCCTACCACATTTGCCCTACATACATCTAGTACTCTGCTCTTTCTAAAATATAAATCCACTCACGTCAATCTTTTCAGATGTTTATGCACTTAAAAAAACAAAAAAAACTACAGTTTGGTCCTTGATTGTTCAATCTCTTGTCAATGTCCTTATGCCATTTATTCACTGCCATTCTGTGATGTGGCATTTTTTTCTGTGTTTACACATGCCAATATTCACACAAACTTGTTTTCTCTTCCTTTTTTCTCATAAGTAAACTGACCAGTACTCACTATAAGAGGTACTGGGGATAACAGGAGGAATGAATCAGGCATGCACATTAAAGTCCAAGGTGAAAGCCAGGCAGTAAGGGCTATCCCTAAATGTTCCTGTTTTATTGAAGTCCCATAATCTTTCTTCTCCTTTTTTCTTTTCTTTCTTTTTTTTTTTTTTTTTTTTTTTTTTTGACAGGCAGAGTTAGACAGTGAGAGAGAGAGAGAGACAGAGAGAAAGGTCTTCCTCTTCTGTTGGTTCACCCCCAATGGCTGCTGCAGCCGGCATACTGTGCTGATCAGAAGCCAGGAGCCAGGTGCTTCTCCTGGTCTCCCATGCAAGTGCAGGGCCCAAGGCTGGGCTATCCTCCACTGCACTCCTGGGCCACAGCAGAGAGCTGGACAGGAAGAGGAGCGACCAGGACAGAATCCGGCTCCCCAACCGGGACTAGAACCCAGGGTGCCGGGGCCGCAGGCAGAGGATTAGCCTATTGTGGGGCAGCGCCGGCCTTTCTTAGGGTTTTACAATCTCACCATTATGAGATTACGAAATGTCATGCCAAAAGTAAAATGAGTTGCCCTGCGTCACACTATTTTAGTAGTAAAGCCACTCAATTTAGGGCTTTGGTCACCTACAATTATCACACTACAGTTTTCAATTGAGAGGAAATATGTGGACTGATGGAAAATGGACTTTTAAAGGTCAGCTACGTAATGTATACTAATGTAATATATATTTTGGTAGATATACTGGATCATTTTGAAAATAAATGAATACATAGCTTAGCAAGGTTTAAATTGCTTTCTTTGGGGAGCTTTAAAAATAAGCCAAATTTCTGTTGATCTGTAACTTAGTCCCGTCTAAAGACATAATGGGAAAAGAGTACCATAATGACTTCAGAAGGTTTTTTTCTTTTTTTTTGACAGGCAGAGTGGACAGTGAGAGAGAGAGAGAGAGAGAGAAAGGTCTTCCTTTTGCCGTTGGTTCACCCTCCAATGGCCGCCGCGCTGATCTGATGGCAGGAGCCAGGTACTTTTCCTGGTCTCCCATGGGGTGCAGGGCCCAAGCACCTGGGCCATCCTCCACTGCACTCCCGGGCCACAGCAGAGAGCTGGCCTGGAAGAGGGGCAACCGGGACAGAATCCGGTGCCCCGACCGGGACTAGAACCCGGTGTGCCGGTGCCGCAAGGCGGAGGATTAGCCTAGTGAGCCGCGGCGCCGGCCCAGAAGGTTTTTTCTGTCCCAACTTTATAGAATGAATTAGATGGAGAAATTTAAAGCACCTTGAGGTTCTTCATTAGTGTTTTAGAAGTTTGAGAAAGGATCAATTTAAGCCAAAAAGTGTTCATTAGGCACATTTTTTGAAAACTGTCCCAAATGGAAATAAAGCAGTAAAGTATTTTTCACTCCATACTGTTTCTAAGATATTACTACTCCCACAAACTTGTGTGCATAACATTTATAAGAAAACTCTTGGCAGTTGTAACTTTAACACATTTTCTTTAGAATAAAGAATACTACATATTATACAACATTTTAAAAGGAAATTTTTAAGATGTCAGTATTTCTTAAATTTATGAAATTCCTTTTGGCTGATTAGACATCCTTTCTGGGAAACAGGAATTACAAAAGGAACTTTCATTTTTGTGCCTGGCCTCTAAGTTCCTGTTTTGTAACTACATTAATGAAAATCACTGACAACTGCAGATTTTGGCCACTAGAGTCAGCAGTAGTATATAAGAGTTTTCATTTAATTTTAAATTCATTTTTACTTGCCACAGTGACAAATAACCTCAAGTACAGGCCATAAAAAGTATTCTCAAAAATGAGCACATAAACTGACACTTTGAGATTTGATTATTGTTTACATTATTCTCTCGAGGAACAGTGGTTTTTCTACTTACTAACTGTTGAATTCTTTATTCCTTGTAGGGTTAAGCTTGTGACTTTAAAATAAACTGAAAGTATATCAATGTAAAAATTAAAAAAAATAAGAAAAGGAGGAGGTGGGACGGTGGGAAGATGGGCAGGAGGGTGAGAAGTGTCATCATGCTGTTAAATCTGTATATATGAAATACATGAAATTTGTGCACCTTATATAAGTATTAAAATCCAGTACATATAAGAATCATATGAGTATAATATATATTTGTGACTGAAACAATCGAAAATCCCATTTAAACCATTTTCCAGCAGCAAATCAAAACTGTGATCTGAAGAAAGGTTTTGTATTAGTTGTCTTCATTTCTTCATCTTCAGTTTTCTCTTGAACCCATTCAAGTTTTTATCCTCATTAATTACTATAAATGTTTTTGTCATGGTTACTGATCACTTCTACATTGTTAAATCTAGTGTTTAGACATTATCTTTCTTGATAATTCCATCAGCATGAAAAGATGATCATCTTCCAAACTCTGAGGCTCCCTTTTCACTTGGTTTCCTATTTATTAGGTCCACAGGCTTGCCATTCAGTTCACTGGTGCTCCTCCAATGCCTTGTACTGGTTCTTTCTCATGTCCCATGGTCTGCAGTGCCACAAACTTCAGTTGTTAGACTCCTGATCTTCTCTTTCTATGTATTACCTCCTCATGCCATCAACTCCAAAATTTCTACCTTCTGTTCAGACCTCTCTTCTGAACTTAAGGACTTATACACCCAACTTGACATTTTACTCATATGTCTTATAGCCTATAGCCTGCTATAATTTCAAAACACTTACTTATCTTCCCCCACTGAATCTGTTCATCCACCTGTCAGTAAAAGGAAACTCAATTTTTAACAGTTGTTCTAGCCCAAACCTCAGAGTCATTTTTGAGTCTTCTACTTCTCTCTTCTAAGATTCAAAGTGAAGCTCTTGAATTTTGCCAGCTTTGTATTCTAAGTATATTCAGAATCCATTTCTTGTTCCTCTAGTGCAAATTCTGGTCTGAACCAAAATTATTTTTCATCTTCATTATTTAGTAATACGCTAATGGATCTCCTTTTTTCCACTCTTGCCCCTTTTAGTGAAAGGAATACTATTTTAAAAACACAAGCCAAATCTTATCAATTCTTTTTAAACTCCAACTTCCTTCACACATCTCCTATCAATCTCCTTTCTACTTTGGATTCAGTCACATTGTCCTTGCTTTTTCTTGAACCTGAACAGGCAGCAGGTTACAATCTCAAAACTTTGTACTTTATTTTATTTGAAACATCTGTGTTATCTCCTTCAAGGCTGTGCTAAAATTGCCTTCTTAGGGAGTTCTTCCCCAATACCTTACTTAAAAATTGACCTTTTATCCCCAACCTGAATTTCTACATGGCATTTTATCATTTAACACAATACATGCTTTGCTTATTGTCTATTTACACTACAGGGATGTGATTCCTGTGAAGGCAGAGAGTTTGTTCACTGGTGCACTGCTAATGCCTATAACCAGTGCCTAGTACACAGGTTTTAACAAATATTTAGTGCAGAAATAAATGGGTATTAAATTCTGGAATCCATGCCTTTATCAAGCTCTAAAAGCTGCTTGTCCTGCAAGCACACTATGAAAAACATAGAGCTGAAGCAAAGCACCTTTTGCAAATAAAAGAAAATGTATGCATTAAACTTGAGAACACAGTTCAACTTAGGCTTGCAGGGAAGAGTCAGTAGGTAGGGTTAAGGGTATCTGTGAAGTTTCTCAAATTATATGCAATACATACATTAGTGGGAGAGAATACAAACCTTATATAAAATTTTCAAAGTAATAAGTGATACAAACAGATGAATAATTTCTAAGTGGGTGTTGAAATCAAATATTATATTTATAGTTTTAGTTTCTCAATTATGTTAAGTATATTATACAAATAAGGGTTCTATACAACTCCCAGAAACAATGGAACAAAATATAATGAGAAATATCTGAAAAACACATATTAAAACAAATTGATTACCACAATGAGTCAGATACAAAAGTACTTTTGAGAGAATATAAAGTATTTTTTGAGAAATTCAATATTTTATACTTTTGCATTTTTTTTTCAAAGCCAACTAAAATTTCATGAAACAAGTTTTAAAAAGGAAAGTGAAATCATACCAAATTTTA